CTTTATAAGCCACTTCAAAAACAAGTCTTGGCTCAACTTTTCTTTGATCTTCCACCGTTTGAGATTTGTTTCTTCTCACATTTTCAAGCTCCTTTTTGTACCTTATAGTTTCCGCAATGCATTTACTTTTTCCCTCATCCAGAGATGATAAGGCAGCCTCACAAACTTTTATTTCTTCCTTCAACCTAACGATTTGTTCCTTCAAAACCACTTCCTTCAGTGGAACTTCATCATTGAAATTCTCTGCCTCAGAAATTTTAATGGCCACCTCATTCGACGAGCTTCAAGTTCTGCCAACTTGTGAGTGGTAGCAAAGTGTTGCTTAAAGGAGCATAGAATGGTTGGAAAGTGTTGGTGCATAGTCTCTATAATACGTTTGAGTCGATCTGATAGAGTCACATCTTTGACAGGAAGGTCGAAAAAACAAAACTTAAGAGTAGACAAAAGAACGAAGAGTGTTAGTCTCAGAACTAACTATGTCCTGAGATACATCTTGAGGATACTTTTTCCACGCTCAACAGGGTCCTTTACAACACTATAATTAACTTCACTCTGGAAGGAAATAAGAAAATATAATAAAGGTTACCACGAACCACGATATGTTTATAATCTTTAGTTTCCTATACCATTAATCTAACATCAATCAATCTTCCCCACATCACAAGATTTATAATTAATATCAATCCGACGAACAAGAAATTAGATTTTAGAGTATTTTGAAAAAGTTTCATTTTCTAACATTACTTAACGTGGGACTTCACACTTATACTTACAGATTGTTTCTTACAATCTTCTCTCGAGAATGAGTTTTTTTGAAAAAAACTTGTTATTTTTCATTTTATTTTATGAACTCTTATATATAAATAAAATGTAACAAAATATCAAAATATTTTCTAAATCAAATAATAACTAATTTCTAAGATTGAAAAATATTTCTAAAACTGAAATATTTTCTAAAAAGTAGTTTGAATCAAAATATATTAAATTAATATTATCAACAAAATGCCATTTTAGTATCATTGAGATCATTATAATTATTTATTTTATTAGGAATTATACTTTTGGTCTAAGTATGATCAGTAACAAAATATTAAATTTATATTCCCCATTAGAAATTCAGTGATTTTTTTTTGTTTTTTCATTCCCTCATGCGAACAATGATAAATTCAAAATGGGAAATCATTTTTGTTCTGACCAAATATATTGGAAATGTGAATTGCAGAAAATAAACTTACATTTAAATGTGGATTTTACGTGTAAAGTAACTATTTGGAATTCCAACTTAGAGGGGGCGGATTCGGAAAGAATTATGAGCTTCCATATTGGTGTTCTTTGGCTATGGTTTTCCACTAAGCAACTTGCTCAGTACTCCTGCGCAAGAACGAAATGATATGTACTGTGGTGTCATAAAGATTGTACCCTGATTTCCTTTTTATGAATTATACTAGCAGGGTTATGCTGATAGTCCAAGTGGACATGCATATTAATTTAGAATAATTTAATGGTATTTTTTTGTTTGTCCTTTTACCTTAGGAATTTCACCAAGTGGTTTTTTCTGCTTTCTCAGACATCGTTCACTAGTCTGTTGTGGTCCACCATGGCTAAACAAAGAGGAATAAAAAGTGTAAAATCACAAGTCTAATCCGACTCATAAAAATCTATTAGACTCACATTTGAGGGTTTGGCTTTTCACTGTTTGCGAGTTTTTGTTATGATGATTTGCTATCTTGGTATTTCTGAAGTGAAAACTTCTGCAACAAATTCCTGCTCTGGTTCTTCATTTCTTGGAGCCAAAATGTGATCATTGAAAACACACCTATTTCACCTTCTTTACAACAAGTCAGAACTTCTTCCAAGCTAATCTTAGGCCCATCCCCTTCTTCAACAGCCTGGGAATCTCGTACCATGTCCTCACTACTACACCTGTTGTAACAAACTTTAAATTTCTCACCAAAGAACAAAAAATCTCAAACTGATGCTATCAATCTTGTAAAAATTCACCAAACGTATACTCATCTAACAAAATAGTCATACCTCATAGAATTCTCATCTATTTGTCTCTTAGCTGTCCTCTTCCAGCTTAGGATCCCCTCGCCACAACACGTTGAACGCATTTCCTCTACCCATGAACTCTCAATCCAACTTCATTCAATTTATCATCTTGTTTCAACTACCTTGGAATCTAGCACAATTTTGTCCTTACCACCCTACTCAACGTGGTGGCAACAACACCTTCAATGCCAATGTCTTCAACTAAAGGGCCCTCTTAACTCTCTCCTTTCCTACGTTCCTCAATCTTCTGTTTATACAATGGGAAAAGTAGCGATTGAGTGAGTTGCTCAAAGTTTTGAAAGGAGCCTATAACAATTTACTATTGATTCTTAAATTTCCTCTGGGTATGGAAAACCTCCTTCACTCTTTCATTCCTCATACACCAACTTTCTTTTGAAATATTGCACAAGCAAGTTAGGAGTCAGTCTTTATATTACAAAATCAAGGGACAATAACAATTTTCTTTGTTCATTCCTTAGTTTTGTGTAGTATATACCAACCATTCATTTCCTGTTAAATTACTTCTGTTGATCTACCAATGATGATTTACTTTAAGAATTTTAATGGTACATTAATTTTAATGGATCACATTGATTTGTTTTAATAAAATGGAGATCAAATTTGTACGTTAAATTGAAAATGTTATTCTAATAATGAGACAGAATAGGCTATTCAATTTTTTTATTTATATTCATAGATTGGTTGGTTCTGACCTTTGAATATTCTCGATATATGTCTGATAGGATGTGATCAAATGCCCAACTATCAACTTCAGTGTATATGAAATCTGTACAAAGATATATAAGGGAATTAACGTGAAAATAAAAAACATAACAAAAGGGAATACACCTCAACTTTCCATGATATAATCATACATTACAATTTAAATCAAATAAGCACTAAAAAAAGTGTGATTATTATATAGGACTTTTTTTTATCACCCAACTTCAAATACGTGGGGACTCGAACGTCTTAAGGATATATAGTACCTTTACAAACACTGTTCTTTTTTCATACTAAAATTCCTAGACCTAAAATTAAACGTCTTCACCAAAATTAAGTTAATGTTCTTATTTTAAAAAACTCTGTGGTGGAGTACCGGTGGGATTTGAACCGCCTCTCATTGAAATAATTAATTGTAATATAATTTTCTTTCTTTAGGTAAAACTTTTACAATTTAAGGGACGAAGGGTCTCACACCATGTCAATACTATAAAAGACCTTATTTCAAATGTGATCATTTGTGACTCATAAAAAAAAAAAAAAAGAACTTTAGTTGTGGATTGTGTAGTTAGAATCAACGGATTCAAAACATTTAGTTGATATACAATTATTTAATATTTCTTCATATCATAAAAAAAATTAAACATTAATAAACTGTAACAGTACACTAGGATAGATTAACTAAATTGTAATAGTGCAAACAATGTGAAAATAACTAAAAAAAGAGTTAATTTCTTAAAATAATTTTGAGTCTAATAATTAATATATTTTCGTTGTTGAACAAAAGTGAGATAAAAATTAAATTTAATTTGAAACTAGTAAACTTCCTTTTTGAGAGTGTATAAGAGTTAAGACCAACATTTATTTAGAAAACAATTAGATAGGAGAGTTACCTCATATCCATACTGTGATAGTTTAAATTTGAAGACTTTATATGGTATTTACCTTTGTGAGGAAAATCTTGACAGAGCTTTTGAAGAGAAGTTGTTGAAGTCAAAGAGAGTTTTGGACATTTGTAGACAATGCAATTCTTTAAATTATGCAATTCAATCTCTTGACAGAAGTTTTCCAAATGCGTAAATATTAAAAGTTTGAGTCTTGGAAGCTCAACTTTAATCCTTCCCCATAAGTTAGATTTACAACCCCTTAGGATACTTTCTAGAAAAAGAATGTCTAAAAACTCTGTTACGCAATCTTACGGTTATTGGGGAATATCAACATATAATCCATATTTGTTGTAACTTTTTTACTTTTAAATATAAACGTTTTTTTTTAGAACTTGAGGTATTTATAAGAATTGTTGCTTATCTTCATTTTTTTATGAATTACATTTGGACATGATTGGATGAGTTAAACTTGATAGAATTTGTTACTTTTAACCATTGTGACGAAATTATTTATATCATAAATTATTTTAATTAAATTAGCCCAACCTATTTTATGTATTGTTATGGTAGATGTTATAATTATATTGGATACTCTAGAAAGTATTAAGGTAATTATGCAATAATATATATATATATATATATATATATATATATAATATATCTATATAAAAAAATATAAAGTTGTTTCAAAATGTATAAAAGCTTTAATTATGTTGAACTCTTGAAATATTGGTGTATGGTTATATGTAGAAAAGAATTACCTCCATAAGGAAAATCATAAATGAGCTTCTCAAATGTAGTTGTTGAAGTCAAAGAGAGTTTTGGACATTTGTAGACAAAGCAATTCTTTACATTATGCAATTCAATCTCTTGACTGAAGTTTTCCAGATGCATAAATATTAAAAGTTTGAGTCTTGGAACCACCATTAACTCTTTTCCAGTTTCACATCCAAACAAGCTCTTCTAGTTTCATTGGCTCCATGTTTGACCAAAATGCAGATGGAGAAGGTCAGTAGAAGCAGTCCAAGAATAATCTTTTCAACTGTTGACATCATCAACATGGCACTCTGCTAGTTTTGGGAAGCATGTTTGAGGAGAAAGAAATTAGAACAACTTCTATCCCCTCAATTATTCTCTTAATTCTTTGGCATTCTTTAAATCGTCAAAAGCTTCAACCACCCTCTGGTAGCTCTTCACACAAGACTTTGGAAAGATTACTGTCCACCTTTCCACAATTCATATTTTATGTGGTAACATGTTGTAGAGTGAAGTGCATTGCGTTCGTCTGATCCCCCCAAATATAAGTCCCATCTCGAGTCAACTATTCAACCCTCCAATTCTGTAAACCTTAACTCACTTGTTGGCCCAATCCATCTTCATTTCATGTTCATTTAAGACAAAAATACGTTCTGCATCAGAATCCTTTATTCTTACGAGTTTGCAAATTGGGGAGATGGTTCTGAATCCCTGTCGTGGACTCCTGTAGGACATTAAGAGCATAATGTACAAACATAGATACGTTTCCCATAAACGAAAAAAGAAAAATTAATTAATAATCATAAAAAGAAAAAAAATACAAGACTACCTTCGTACTTGTGATAATAGGCTCTCTTGAACCATAAAATGGATACAAACATTTGTAACACCTAAAGTCCTTCAAAGATGGCCACGTCACAATGAGATTGTTGGTAGAACAAATGCTAACAAATTTTGGTAGATTCCAAAGAAAGAGTATTTCCAATGCTGAGAATTGAATATGAATCTCCTTATAATCCTTATTAGCTACGTCATATTGCCCAACCATATATTTCAATTGGAAACAGTCATACACTGTGAGGTCTTTTAAGTTGGGAAAGATAGCTTTCATATTCTCTTTGCCATATTCATCATCAGTGTCTATAATGTACTCAAGTCCAAGACATTCCTTTAATCTCAAAATTTCCAACATCGTCAATGATAAAGCAATGGACAGTTTAAAAAGGTACTTTGCCTTATCAAAGCCTGTCAGTTCAATCTCTCTAATATTGTGTGTCATAATCAAGTTCAAACCTGTTGGTTGTTTTGAAAGACATTCAACACTTTCAACCGGCGGATCAAAATCTGAGTTCGATATCTGCAATTTATACACCAAAATACTTCTTACCCAAATAAATATTATTTTAACTCTGATTATATTCACGTATTCCTTTCTAATCGTAATTGGGCGTATAGATAAAAAGTTTTAAGCATGTTATAATTTTTAGATTCACTTTTTCTCTTCTTTTCTTTTCTTTCTTCTTCGCAAAATAATTGCTCTCCCCTGTTTAGTCCTATTAAAAAAATAATTTTCCAACGTTATCATTTCCAAATAATCTAATCCCCAATACTTACATATTAAAAATTTATGTTCAGCATTAATGAACGCAGTCCCTAGTACGTGGGGCAGGGCATGTAAGACCATTTATTTTACTTTTTACCCAACATCAATCTTTGAATTTCAAATATTTAGATTAAGTTTGTAAATTCACAAAGATAGAAACCTTTAAATGATGGTTTTTCATACCTTGATTGCAATAGAATCCCTTTTTGTAGCTTCTGAAGCATCGCTTGAACAATTTATGTTGAAAAACCAAACATATTTCCCAATATCCAATGATAGTGTTCTTAAAGATGGACATATCACATCATAACTACCAACAATGGTTCTGTCCCCAATAAGACGAAGTTGAAGTACTTGTAAAGCAGGAAGCTCAATTTGAGTATTATTTCCGACTAGAGAAGTCTTCAAATCAGCAGCCTCTTTATTTGTTATATCATTCAATTCTCCAACAAAAGAAACAGGGAATATATCATTCAATAACTCACAATTACTGATATGCAGATTTTTCAAACTTTGAAAGATTGAAATATCACTCTGACAATCAGGCTCATCCTCAACAATGCTTTCCTCCTGATTTTTATTGACCCTTTCGTGAGTTACTATATCTTCAACTTTTGCACTTTTGCAACTCCTCCTATGTAAAATTCTTCGCAAGAAGTCAAGGTCTTAGCTGTAGGATGCTGTACAATTGAGCCTAACTCATTTTTAATACATTCTCTTAAATTGAGAGCATTGGGAATGGTAGAGAGCTAGGTTTGATATATACCTAATTAATTTTGGTAAAATAGATTTTTAATAACTTTAAAACGTGGTATTTAATCCTAACTTAATCTTATAAAATCAATTTAGTAAGGTGAGATTTGCATTCACTTATGTATTACAATTTATGCATATTTTTAGTTAATATGAGATTTCTAACACACCTCACGTTAAGGACATTGAGCATTCACATATTTCAAAAATGTAGCTTAGAAGGTGAGTTTTATACCTACTTATACATTATAACTTAGTCATAATCTAGTCGATGTGAGATTTCCAACATACCTCCTTACATCGAAGACAACAAGCATGGAAATAAATGGGGACTATATAACTACTGACACAATCAACGTAATTAATCTTGCTAGAATAGACGATTAATGACTTTGGTAATGTGAAAAACACATGGCAAAACTTAACAATTTTCGAATAATGCATGATATAGATGCCAAAATAGGATTTTAAAATTATGTGATTCTAACATATATTATAGAAAGGGTATGTGTACCTTTTTTCATGAGAGAGCAATCTTTAATGCTCTAGAGATTTGATTTGATGAATGACTCTAAGCTTTTTTTCAATGACTTTGACTTTCTATTTTCTTTCTTGACGAATGTAACACGAAGAAAGGTATGAGAAAACTTGCATTCTACCTTAGTTGTTCATATACATTCAGGTCCTATTGTTTTGCTCAACCCATCAATTAGTAGTCATCATTAAAAAATTGCTCCTCAATAGCTTAATTATTATTTTCAACTTCATTAATAATTTATTTACGCATTGATATATTTAATTAACATGATGCATAAAACCTTATATTCTTCCACTTGGGTTTATGTGCCATTGTCTATGTTTATATGAATGAATAAACAAATAAATTAAACAAACATTATTCACAAGTGGACTTTAAGTCTAATTTAATGTCACAAAATTAGTTTGTAAGATGAGGTTTGCATCCATTTATATACTTTATATTAGCCTTATCTCTAGTTAATGTCGAACTTCTAACACACCCCTTTACGTCGAGTGAACTTTAAGCCTAATTTAACTCTGGAAAACCAGCTTGTAAAATTAGGTTTGTATTTACTTATATACTCTAAATTGACCTTATCGCAAATCGATGTGGAATCTCTAACAAACATAATGCATATTGAGAGATTAAAATATTATTTCTGTTAGGAAAATCATACTTAAAACTCTCTCATAGAATTAATGTATTTAGAAGTCTTGGAGGAGCGTGATGAACTCATTTTCTTAATCTTTCATTTATAGGACTTAATACAATGGAACCAGTTAATCTAGAAAGGAAAGAGAACTCACACTCAACTAATTACACAAGTCACACATAGTTGTGTGTACATGACATGGATTTAATCATTTGATCCAACAAACTCCATGAATATGAGTGTTCCCCTTTATAACTAATCAGATTTGAGCTCATCAACTTCACTATTAGGTCTTACTTTAATGGCATATACCTATCGACATCCAACTTCCTTTTTTCTAGTGGAAGAGGAACTAACACCTAACTATTATTTTGATTAAGAGCCTGCATTTCAACAATCATAGTTTGTCACCATCTAGGATATCAATTGCTCGATTCACATTTTTGGGAATGGTAATAGAGGATAGTGAGGATAAAAAGGAGCAATAGGAAAACGACAATTTATAGAAATTAAAAAAGTTATGAATAGGATGTGGGTTTCGAGTGGAACGAGAACTTTTTCTGATAACAATGAGCCATCTTGAATCATCTTCACTAGGAGTCATGGTATTGAGTAACGATGGAGAAGAATTTGAAAAAAGTGACAAGTTTGAGCTTTCTTATGAAAAAAGTGACATTTTAAAAGCTATAAGAGAAACCAAAAGCTTCAGTTCCACATATTTCACAACACGACACAATTGAAAATCAACTTGCTTCAATTATTCAAACTTATCAGGAGGCACGTTCCTTCCATCTTGGTCAAGGTGGTCATGATGACCCTCGCTAAAGAACCATATTTCAATGAATGCCGACCACAAAAGAGTTATTTTTTTCCATATAGTTTTTCAATGATAATGGTAGGATTTCCAAAAATGATAGGTGCAGTAGACATTTTAAAAACAGATTATGAAAGCAAAACAATAGTTTTTAAAGGCAAAAACTATGTTCGATAGAAAAAACCTTCAATCCATAAGGAAAAGCGAATCTCTTTGTGACTAAAAGTCCACCAAATGACCTCTAAATAAGACACGTGGAACGTATCGGGATTGCTCCAGTGAGTCAAATGGTAGTTGTCTAGAGAAGATCAGATGACCGAGCGATGTGTGTGGGATTCACGCGCCTCGAGGCATTCTATAATTGATGTGCGTGAGACGTTGCTTGAAAATGTTTATCGCTCTAATTCTAACACAAGTGGTCATCGCTTGAAGAAGCGATCTTGATCTGGTGGTCACCAATGAAAACTATGATGGTGACTGATGACGAAGGAAGACCGCAAAAAATGCACCGAAAATTACAAATACTAGCAACCTATTTTGATAACAACTTAAAATTGAAACAGAAAAATTATGTATTTAGAAGTCCTAAAGGAGCTTGATGAACTCCCCTGTATAATCTTTAATTTATAGGACTTAATACGGTGGAACCACCTAATCTCCCAAGAAAGACAATTCACACTCAACTAATTAATATTATGTAATCATTGAAGTTTGTATTCTCCTCAATTGATTAGTGCCACAAGTTGATATTTTCATGACTTTCACATAAGATTCTTTGATAGTTTTATTTAATCCTTTGTCAATAATTAACTAGTCTTATAATTGGTCTCTTAAACAAGTTACATTCCCTTGTAATAGAAGTTCGGATAAATTATGATACACATGGCACCTCACTCAAAATTTCCGAAGATGCAAAAAACTGTTGAAAATAGTTAATTTAGTCTTAAAAAAAAATAAGGAATTAAAGTGAAGATTTTGTGTTAAAAGAAAAAATTGAAAATTAAATTATAGATAAGAAAGCAAAGTGTTTTACATTAACGGAATTTTTTTGAAGAGAAGGTATATGATAAACTTGATGTTAACTATTTAAGTGAGAAAAACGGTGAATTAATATATTTTACTATAATGAATTAATACAAGTAACAGAGGTTGAAGACTTGAAAGTATAATTTTGTATAACGAATGGTTTATAGAGTGATTTGCGGTGTAAAGAGTAGAACTCTTGTTACTCATCAAGTAACCAATCGGATCGTGCATATAATAACTTAATTTCCAGATCCTCTATCACAATTAACATTTTAAGGAATTAGTATTTTTTCTTTCTTTTTCTATTTGTACATTTTATCTAAAATGTGGATATAAATTTAAATAAGTATAGAAAAATTAAACTTACAAAAGATAAGTATAATTCTAATTTTGTATACAATGCATGTTTTAGTTTAAGCTTTGGTTAAATATATTTTGTACAGGTACACTTTTGTGTTTTTATTTTTCTATTTAACAAATCTTCTCATCTACATACTTGTATGTTTGAACATGATTTATTTTTTGTTGGTGGGAGGGTAAAACATTTACAAAACATTATTTAAAAAAAATGTTCGACAAAATTATCAAAGTGACGAAAAATATATTTAAAAACTCTTTTATCAAACTTAATAATTTTAAAAGCAATGATTAAAGTTATTAGACTTTCTTTTATTGTGTATCCCATAATTGACTATTTAGGATAGAGAACATTAAATTTAATTACTACACTTGATAACTTTTTACCTAATTTTACTATAAAAAAAGTGATGTACTGGAAGATGAAATAAGTTATTTTAAAATCATTTTGTTATCTAATACATCTAAAGTGCGTCTATCTTTTCTTGATCAGGTTTAAGAAAGTTGTATATGTTGGAATAAATTGATGGAGTGTCTATGTGGTTTTGCATCTTCTGTTTCAAGAGATTTAGTGTGTGGAGCATTAAATCAATTACGTTATCCTTGTTGCTTTAAAAATTTCGTCAAAAGGCTTGAAGAAGAAGAGAGCAATTTGATTAGATAACAAAGATAGTCCCAAACATGTGTTACGGCACACCAAGAACAAGCGAGAAAGCCCAGTGAAATTGTGGACAATGGCTGGAAGATGCTATCAATGATGTAACACAATATCAATCAGTGCTGGAAAATGGCAAAACACACAAAAACATTGTTGCTTTGGGCACTCCCAATTGGATTTTGGCGATATCTGTTTGGAAAAAAGTTAGCAAACAAAAACTATGACCTCGAAAAGTGTCATTAGAAGAGGGCAGAGAATATGTGCCATTGACCGCAAAATCGACGCTTCCCTTCAACAGCCTTGATGCTTTCAAGAAAAATGCATGAATTTTGAGAGAGACAATCTGCTTATGAGGCAACTACTGATTCAGTGAAAATAAATGTTTCCCATGATTGGGCTGTGTATGGGATTGGGGGTTTGTGGTAAAACAACATTTAGCGATGGAGGGTTCGGAAGTTCGTAAGCGAGGATCTTTTGAAAAAGTTCTTTTTGTAGCCTGTTTCTAGTACGGTGGAAGTTGGGAGGATTCAAGAAAAATAGCAAGTTCACTCCAATTTGAATTTCCAGAAACCGAAGAAATGCAGAGAGCCCAAAGATTGTGCTCAAGATTAACTCAAAGAACAATATTTTTTATAATTCTGATGATGTGTGGGAGAAAGCTTGACTTTGGTCGTATTGGAATTCCTTCTTCTGAACACCTTAAAGGATGCAAGATTCTCATTACCAGTAGATCAGAAGCATTTTTACTTTAATGGACTGTCAAAGAGATTTACTTGCCAATTTTAAACGGATGAAGAACATGGACTCTTTCCAAAATAAAGCACTTATATCATGCCACCTCTGATACCTTAAAGGATCTGGGAAGATAATTTCCAATGAATGTAAAGATTGCCGTTGCCATGCAGCTGTGCTGTAGTTTGAAGGGAAAAGCCAGAGACGGAATGAGGGTTGCATTGAATAAATTGAAGACACTTCTAAGCCAATAAATATGAAGAGGTTTGACTGATCCCTACAAGTTGCCTGCAGTTGAGCTATGATAATTTAGATACTAAAGAAGCTAAATCACTTTTCTGTTGTCTCTGTGTTTCCTGAAGATTTTTGAATTGACATTGAAATTTTAACAAGATGTGCAATAGGATTAGGTGTTATTGGAGAGAGTTAGACTCATATGAAGAGGCAAGGAGTGGAAGTGATGCAGCTAATTAAGCTGTTGTTGTTGTTTATTGTTGATGCAGATGATGAATGTGCAAATGCAGACAATAGTTCGTGATAGTGGCCCACATAATAGCA